GAAAATCTTCGTCCCCCGGCGGCACCTTTTTTTTGAATTTTCCTCCTTTTCAACGCCGTTTTTCGGGGATTTCGGATTTTTTAAAAATTTTTTCGCAGTAATATTCGGAAAATAGATAAATTTTAACACATTTTAATGCAATAAAAATTTCTTGTCAGAGTCCCCCTTTAAAACACCTAAAAATAGCCAATTTTCAGACCGAAATTGAGCTAAAAAACGCCAAAAAATCGGATTTAAAAGTCATTTTTCTCCTAGTTTCCAAGTTTTAAGTTCATTTTTCACGATTTTCTAGCTGGAAATATAATAAACTATATCCGAAATTCTAGAAAACGCCATTTTCAGTCTGAAATCAGTAGTTGGGGTTGGGAAGGATTGCTGGAAAAATTGGGAAATTTCGGCGGAGGAAAAATAGAAAATCGGACATCCGGATGCACAGATGCACATCCGGACGCATGGAATAAGGCATTTTCAGGCAGATTTTCAACCATTTACTCAGCTTAAAACGCCCAAAATAGCCAATTTTTAGACCGAAATTGAGCTAGAAAACGCCAACAAAGGGATTTTTTCAGGCAGATTTTTCAGTCAATTGCTCAGCTTAAAAACCCAAAAATAGCCATTTTCCGACTGAAATTGAGCTAAAAAAAGCAGTTTTTCCGACAGATTTTCAGCCAATTGCTCAGCTTTACTACTTAAAATCTAGGTGAAAAGCCAAGCCAAAAGCCACAAAACAACATCAAAATATCACATTTCTCTCCTCTCTCTCCCTTACCTTTCAGCGTGATCAGCAGTTGAGGCGGAGGAGGTGACGGTGCAGCAGGCAGGTCGATAGGTGATCGCTTCCGAGTTTTCTGTAATCGAATTTTTTGTTTTTTTGAAAAAAGAGCAAAATTGAAAATTGCTCATCTCTCTCTCTCTCAAAAAGAGCAGAGAACTTCTCTATCCCTGGGAAATTGATAAGTGATTTTTTTTTCTATTTTTCTCTGATTTCTCTAAATCTCTCTCTCTCTCTCTCTCTAGAGCCTTGCAGACTGAGAGATAGATAGATAGAGAGATAGAGAGAGAGAGAGAGAGAGAGAGAGAGAGAGAGAGAGAAAGAGATAGAGAACTAGATAGAGAGACGCAGAAAAAAAGAGCAAAAAAAAGCACAAAAATCGCGAAAATCCGTTAGTTACTGCCCAAGGTTCACACCATCCGCGTTCAAGTATCTGGTAAATAGAGAAACTCTATATCTCTGCGCCTCTCTTACTGTACACACCATTTCTCTCTCTCTCTCTCTCTCTCTCTCTCTCTCTCTCTCTCTCTCTCTCTCTCTCTCTCTCTCTCTCTCTCTCTCTCTTTATTTTTACGTGGGGGATACAGGGAGCCAATAGAGAATTTTGAGGTTTAAAGAGGGGGGATATATTTATGATCTTGGTCAAAAATATAGGTTTTTTGGGGGGAAAATCTGGAAAAATTCGCTTTTTCGGGAAAAAAAATTGCTTAAAATTTTGGAAAATTCTGGAAAATTTAGAGAATGAAAAAAGGAAAAATCTGTAATTTTCTGGATTTTTTTCAATTTTTCCAGCATTTTTAGCTTAAAATTCGAAGATTTTCTAATGGAAAAATCGAAAATTTTTGGAAAAAAACCCCCACTTTCCATCTTTTCGGCTATAAAAAACTGACGATTTTTGTGACTTTTGTAATCTAAATATCGAAAATTTCCCAGATTTTTGCTTCACAATTTCAGCAATTTTCAGATTTTTCAGCTCAAAATTTCGGGATTTCTTGAGTCAAACAATAGCAACTTTTCGCCGTATTTCAACATTTCTGAAAATTATTACATCGATTTTTTTAGAAAATTCCAGAATTTGAGGGAAAATTGATGAAAATTTCTAGAAAAAATAAACAGTGATTTCCGGCATTTTTAGCTCCAAATTTCGCGATTTTCTAGCTTGAAAATCGTCTGGAAATGGTCGAAACTTGATATTTTCTGGAAAAAAAATTTGAAAAATGAGCAATTTTTCGACATTTTCAGCCTAGAAAATCGTCTGAAAATCGCCGAATTTCCAGATTTTTTTCACGAAATTTTCTTCAATTTTCAGTCTATTTTGACCATTTTTGGGTCATTTTCAGCATTTTTTGATCGATTTTTCTGGAATTTTGGCCCGTTATCAGCCTTTGTAAGCTCATTTTTAGCCAATTTTCAGGGATTTTCAGCTACTTTTAGCCTATTTTTGGCCGATTTTTCCAAATTTTTGATAAATTTCGGCTCATTTTTCTCTCTATTTAGCTCACTCGTGACCATTTTCAGCGGCGGTTTTTCTGGAATTTTCGGCCTGTTGTAGCCTTATTTTAGCTCATTTTTTCGCATTTTTCGATGAATTTTGGCTCATTTTGGGCCATTTTTTGTGATTTTTAAATCCTAAAAATTCGATTTTCAGTCAAAAAACAGGCAAATTTGCAGATTTTTCCTCAAAATTTCAGCAAAAACCAAAAAAAAGCATACCATAACTGGATCCACACGAATCTCTGCCGTCGCCAAATCCTGCTCTCTGCTGTTATTGCTGACAATTGACGATAGTTCTGGAAGCGATGGCGACGTCGTCGGGATGTTGGACACCGAATTCACACGATTCACAGATGACGAACGGTCGCTGTCACTTCTGAAAATTCTGGGGCCAAAATTAGTACAATGGAGGTCAAAATCGGTCGAAAATCTGCTGAAAATCGTGTAAAATAGCCCAAAATTAGTGTAAATTTTATCATAATCAATCTAAAGTTACTGAAAATCAGAAAATCGTCAAAAAAACCTCAAAAATCGGTCAAAACCGGCTGAAAATCGTGTAAAATAGCCCAAAATTGGTGTGTAAAAGTCTTCAAAATCCATCTAAAACTACCCAGAATTAGTCAAAAAATGACTTTTTTCTAATTTTGGGTATTTTTAGATGGGTTTTAGTCATTTTTACACTAATTTTGAGATATTTATGACGATTTTCAGCCGTTTTTGACAGATTTTGGGCGATTTTTGCGCAGTTGTCTTCAAATTTCGGTATTTTTTGATAGCTTTTTTCCAATTTTTACACTAATTCAGACAGTTTCTGGCTGTTTTTTTTCATTAATTTTGGCTCATTTTCAAGTAAATTTGGCAGTTTCCGGCAATTTTAAGCCAATTTTTGACTAATTTTCGATGATAGACAGCTTTTTTGGACTGTTTTTCGATGATTTTCGGCTATTTTTAACAAGTTTTGGATCATTTTAGAGGGATTTTGATCATTTTTACACTGATTTTGAGGTGTTTTCGACGATTTTCAGCCATTCTAGACCGTTTCTGGCTGTTTTTTTTACCAATTTTAACTCATTTTAGGCGATTTTAAGCTCATTTTTCACCGATTTTCCAATGATTTTTAGCTCATTTTTCACCCAAATTTTAGCCAAATTTCTCCCCACAAACCTTCGAACTTTTCGTCTCAAATTCCGCCATTTCCATGGCCGGACCAGTCGAAGCCAGAATTTCGACGACACAAACGGCATGGATTTTCGTGGCGATCTGCCGGATTTCGATGATTTTCCTGTGCTTCCAGTTGTGGACGTCGCATCGCCTACTGTACTTTTTTTCACTTTTGGTCCACCACCATGATTTCGAGGAGCCGTTCCGCCGCCAGTGATTTCCTCATTTGATGTCATTTCTGAGAGGAAAAAATGGGAGATTTTCGGGATTTTTGAGGCTTTTTGGGGCGAAAATAAGCCAAAAAGTCCAATTTTTCAGATATTTTTTCCTAGTATTTTCCAATGAAAACTGGATTTTTGGCTGATTTTCGCTGATTTTTTCAAGGAAAATGGTGTCGAATTGAGCTAAAAATCCAATTTTTTGAGGTTTTTCCCACCAAAAAATCCAATTTTTCAAGGCTTTCTGGGGCAAAAAATCAACTTTTTGAATGAATTTTTAGCAAAAAAAAATCGGACGATATTAAAAATCGGACGATATTTCGAACGATATTAAAGCTGAAAATGAGCAGAAAAATCGGATTTTTAGTCTTTTTTTTCAGAAAATTCGGCGTTTTGAGATAATTTTTGAGAAAAAAATCCTAAAAATTTACATTTTCGGGGTTACTTTTAGAGCGAAAAAACTTTTCAAATAATTTTTCAGCAAAAAAAATTGGAAAAAATCAGATTTTTCGGATTTTTTGAAGTAGAAATCTTGTTTTTTTTTCGAATTTTTCAATGATTTTTGTGTTGAAAAACTAAGTTTTTGGCAGACAAAATTGATTTTTCGAGGAAAAAAATCCGATTTTTCAGATTTTTTTTTCCAGTATTGTTTTTAATGAAAAATGCATCTTTGGCTGATTTTCACTAAAAATTCCTGTTTTTTTCAAGAAAAATAGTGTCAAATTGAGCCGAAAATTCCAATTTTTCCAGGTTTTGCTCTCAAAAAATCTGATTTTTAAGATTTTTTTTCAGGATTTCTGGCTAATTTTTTGGATGATTTTCGCTTTAAAAAATTATGAAAATTGAGCCAAAAAAACTCATTTTTTCGGATTTTTTTCAGTAAAAATCTAAAATCTTACGATGAAAAGTTTGGTTTTCAGCTTGCAACTGCTGCTGCCCCTCGCTCGGCGAATTGTCGGACTCTAAAAATTGGAATTTTTTTCTAGAATAAATCGAATTTTCAATTTTTTTTTCAGAAAAATTAACCTCGACAATGGGGAAAACAGATAGAGAACGGCCATGGAATATACATAAATATAGCAAAATTTGGACGGAATTTTTAGGTCAATTTTTCCAAATTTTCCACTTTTTCGGCGCGAAATTTGAAACTTTTTAGTGAAAAAAGTGATGTTTTCAGGCGGGGAATGGGCAGAGAATAAATGAACTTTTCGGCTAAAAAACAATGGCGGAAAGGGCCGGTTTTGTTTGCCCATTAGCATAATCACTATCACTGAATCATCTTTTTCCCGCTTAATCGATGATGATCAATCGGGAAAAAAGAGGGTTTAGGGAGAGGAAGATCAACTGGAGACTGACTTTTATTTTGGGAAAAAAATTCAGAAAAAAATTTTTTTTAATTTCAAATGTAACTTTTCTCATGTTAGGAACCGATTTTTGAGTTTAAAAACCTAAAATTCAGTTTAAAATCGCTGATTTCAGGCTAGAAAGTTGAAAAATACTTTTTTAATTTTTCAAAAAAATTCCCATTTTTCCACTAAAAATTGCGGGATTTTTCAACGAATTCTAGCAAAATATAGTATTTTTCTTCTTTTTTTCCTAAATTTTTATTTCAAAGCAATTTTAGCGCTAATTAGGGGCAACTAAGCGAAGAATATTAGCCAGGAAAATTCGAATCGCCGCTTCTCTGTGCATTTGCGCGTGGTGGTGTCATGCACACAATGCGCTGGATTCGACGAGCAAACGCTTGTTTTGGGATTTTCGGGGCCCAAATTTTGCATTTTTTTTGGAGTAAAAATTGGAGAAAAATGCTTGAAAAATTGATTTTTCAGGTGTAAGAAATCTGGAAAATCGTCTAGAATCGATGAAAATCTTGAAAAATTCAGAAATTTCAAGTAAAATTGAGAAAAATACCAAAACTAAAAAAAATTGAAAATTTCGAAGAAAAAGTCATTTTCCGGACGAAAAATTGCACGAAAAATCGTTAAAACTGGCGAAAAATCTCTAAATAATCGGAAATTTTTCGAAAAATCTCAGAAATTTTTAGAAAAGAAAAGGGAAATTTTCAAAAAAAAAAAGTCAAAATCCGGCCTGAAAATCGTTAAAAATCCAGAAATAATCTCTGAAATTGCTCTAAAAATTCAAAAAGAATCGCTAAAATCGGCAAAATTTCAATTAGAATAATCAATTTTCGGGTCATTTTTCAAAATTTTTCGCCACAAATTCCGGAGAGTGCAGCCTCATAATGATGGCAATCACGCATTTTCCCCCATTAATTATGCAATATTATAGGGGAAAAAATGGAGATGAAGATTCTAAAAAAGGGGGAATGAACCACAACAAAAAAGGATGGGGCGGAGTAGTAGCAGAGTGAGAAAAAGAGGCGGAAATCGGGAAGAAGACGAGATTCCTTCTTCTTCTTTTTTCAAAAATCTAGAAGACGTCGTCGTCGTTGCGCTGACATGATGTTAACTCTATTAGCACACGGAGGACGAGGACGACGTCTTCTGGAGAGTACTGCTTCTTGAATTCTGAAGGAAAACTTCTAGATGGACGTCTCTGAATACCAGAAGACGTCCATATATATTCAGAATGACGGGAGAAAGAGAAAAAGAAAGAAGATAAATGCGTCTCCCTTACTGCTTTCTAAGAATATAACAACTCGTAAAAAGTGCTTTTTTTGCTTATATGGGACCATAGAAGCCTGGAAAATGGGATTTTGAAACATATATTATAAAAAAGCCAGCCTAAAATTCAGTTTTAAATCGCTGATTTTAGGCTAGAAAGTTGAAAAAATGGCGGAATTTCAAAAAAAAATTTTTTCAAATTTCCCATTTTTCCGCTAAAATTGCGGGATTTTTTAACGAATTCTAGCAAAATATGGTCCTTTTCTTCTTTTTTTCCTAGATTTCTATTTCAAAGCAACTAGCGCTAATTAGGGGCAATTAAACGAAGAAAATTAGTCAGAAAATTCGAATCACCACTTCTCTGTGCACTTTTGCGTGGTGGTGTCATGCACACAATGCGCTATACTCGACGAGCAAACGCTCGTTTTGGATTTTCGGCGCCCAAATTTGTCTGTTTTTTTGGGTAAAAAATGCTCGAAAATTCGATTTTTCAGGTGTAAAAAATCTGGAAAATTGTCTAGAACCAATGGGAATCTTGAAAAATCCAGAAATTTCAAGTAAAATTTGATGGGGTTATTCATTAGTATTTCTTTGCATTTTTTTGCATTTTTTTCCTATTCATTAGTGTAAAAAAATTAATTTTTTACATCATTTTTTTACACTAATGAATAGGAAAAAAATGCATTTTTTTGCATTTTTTTACTAATGAATAACCCCATGAGAAAAATCCCAAAAATGAAAAAAGTCGGAAATTTCAAAGAAAAAGTCATTTTCCGGACGAAAAATAGCACGAAAAGTCGTTAAAACTCGAGAAAAATCTCTAAATAATTGAAAAAATTTCGAAAACTCAGAAATTTTAGAACAAAAAATGAGGTAATTTTCAAAAAAAAAAAGTCAAAATCCGGTCTGAAAATCGTTAAAAATCAAGGAAAATTTCAGCCTAATTTAGAAAAAGTCGTTGAAATTGCTCTAAAAATCACTAAAATCGTCAAAATTTCAATTTGAAAAATCAATTTTCGGGTCATTTTCCAAGAAAAAATTAGATTTTCGCCTAATTTTTCGCTTTAAGCTTTTTGAAAAATTCAAAAATTTGAAACAAAATTTTTTTTCGAAATTTTCAAAATTAATTTTTGGAAAAATTTAACGAATTTCGCACAAATTCTCCAAAAACGAAATTCAGTAAATGTAAAATTTGAGGGAAAAATTTGAGGGGGCGAATCGAGGAGGAATTAAGTGGGGATGGAGAAGAAGGAAAAAGAAGAAAATTTGAGAGAAACAAAAAAGAGAGTGGGAAAAAAAATAGTAAAAAAACATTCTCACAGGGATTAGTTGGTCCGTTTCTTTGAAATTTTTTTTCGTTTTCTTTTTTTTGAATTTAAATCGGATAGAAATGCAAATTCGCTCTAATGCGAACGCCTGGGAAAAGCTAGAGCTGAAGCTTTGTGTGAAAAAAATTGAAAATTTTTTAAAAATTTGCGCCGCGCAATCGCGCTCCGCCGAACAAAATGCTTGAAATTTGAATTCTTAAACTAGGGAAATCATAAATTTCGTTTTATAAGAAAAATATAAATTTTGGAAAAACAAGAATTCTTGTTTTGTTGATTTTTTTCGGGGATATCGAATTTCCTTCTTCTTCGTTTTTATTATAAAAAGAAGAAGAAAAAGTCAAAACACTTGAGAATAAAAAGAGCACAAATGCTCTTTTTATTGAGGAAAAAGGGGAGGTAAAAAGAATAAAAAAACTTCCTGATATTATTCACGGATGAATGAAAATGTCACAAAAAAAGAGGGTAAAAAGTGGAGAAAATGGAGAAAAATCCAAAAAAAAAAAATAATTTAAAAAATCTAAAAAATGTTAAAAATTTGATTTTTTTTTAATTACAAAATTCTGGAATTTCAAAAAAAAGAAAATTTGTAAACTTAGATTTTTTAGGATTCTTAGGAGTCTTAGATAAAAAATTCAAAAATGTAGAAAACAATTTTTTTTCGAAATTTCAGATAAATTTCGAAAAATCAAAAATTAGAAAAACATATTTTTTCTGAAAGTTCAGAATTTGCGAATAAACTGTAAAAAATTTAGAAATTAGAAAATTTCGAAAATTTCAGTGAGAACGAAAAATCTTGAAATTTCTGAAAATTTGAAAAAATGTAAAAGAAAACTAGAAACTCTGAAAATTCTAAAATAACAAAATTCCAAAAAATCCGAAATTCAGAAAATCAGAAATTCAGAAATTCGAAAATTGCTAAATTCAGAAATTCAGAAAATCCGAAATTCGAAAATTCAGAAATTCAAAAAATCCGAAATTCAGAAAGTTCCAGCAAATTCAGAAATTCAGAAACTAAGAAATTCAGAAATTCAAAAATTTCAAAATTCAAATATTTCGAAACTCAGAAGCACAGAAAATTTTGAAAAAATTCTTTCAAAATCGAATATTTAAAAAATTCCAAATTCTCTAAAAATCAATAGCAAAATTTCTTCAGAAATCAGTGAGAAATATTTCACAAAACCATTGTTTTTGAATTCGGTTAAAAACTAAAAACCCAAAAACTCAAAAACCAAAAAACCAGTCCTTGGGTTTCCATTTCAATCAATCCATAATACAAATATAAAAACAACCAGTTGCCGCCCTTAAAAATGACTAAAAAAGGAAAAAAGAGAACTGTCTGTTTTTTTTGTTCGTACGTTCGTTCGTTTCGTTTTAATATTGTACAGACAAGGCAGAGTGAGACAGAAAAGGCGGGAAGGAATTCAAACAACACAGAGAAATAGTGTGTGATTTGGAGAGAGTGAGAGAGATAGAGAGAGAAAGAAGGGACGCGTTTTGAATTGAATTGGTTGGATGGGGATGACAGCTGGTACCTCATGAGATGACAAAAGGCACAAAATGATGGATTAGTGGGTGATGACCTGGTTTTTGGGTAGGTCAGTGTGGTCCCAGAATCCAGAATCCAGAAATCTGGATTCTTAGATTCTTAGATTCTTAGATTCTTAGATTCTTAGATTCTTAGATTCTTAGATTCTTAGATTCTTAGATTCTTAGATTCTTAGATTCTTAGATTCTTAGATTCTTAGATTCTTAGATTCTTAGATTCTTAGATTCTTAGATTCTTAGATTCTTAGATTCTTAGATTCTTAGATTCTTAGATTCTTAGATTCTTAGATTCTTAGATTCTTAGATTCTTAGATTCTTAGATTCTTAGATTCTTAGATTCTTAGATTCTTAGATTCTTAGATTCTTAGATTCTTAGATTCTTAGATTCTTAGATTCTTAGATTCTTAGATTCTTAGATTCTTAGATTCTTAGATTCTTAGATTCTTAGATTCTTAGATTCTTAGATTCTTAGATTCTTAGATTCTTAGATTCTTAGATTCTTAGATTCTTAGATTCTTAGATTCTTAGATTCTTAGATTCTTAGATTCTTAGATTCTTAGATTCTTAGATTCTTAGATTCTTAGATTCTTAGATTCTTAGATTCTTAGATTCTTAGATTCTTAGATTCTTAGATTCTTAGATTCTTAGATTCTTAGATTCTTAGATTCTTAGATTCTTAGATTCTTAGATTCTTAGATTCTTAGATTCTTAGGATTCAGTAGGTGGAAGTTTGAGCATTCCCAGTTTTTCAGAAAATACTGGGAATTCGAAAAATCTGAAAGTTCTCAAATTTTAGAAATCCCAACATTTGGAATTAACCTGAAACGCCTGGTACGCCTGTACCGTGTATGCTCTAATAGAAGCTCACTCTATATGTTCGTCTAATTTGAGCTTAATTATCTCGGTTCCTGTAAGAGATATCAAAAAGCGCTCAACTGATAAACTATTTATCATAATGTCACCAACATTTTATTAGTTGACCACTTTTTGATATCTCTCAAGGCAACTAAGCTAAAAGTTGCCGAAAAGGAAAACTCAAAATTTCAAAATATCGAAGTTTTCAAATTCTAAACTATTCTCACTAAACACTTCCCATATATGGTTCTGCTTCTCAGTAGCCCTTTGGCGAAACGGAACGTAATTGCAAATTGCATTCCAGAGCCATACGGAGCCGTCGCCGTGTTCTCTCTCTCTCTCTCTCTCTCTCTCTCTCTCTCTCTCTCTCTCTCC